CAAGTTGCGCCTGGCAGCCCTGAGCCTGTGGTGCGCTGGACAGCATGTGCTTCTAAAGCATGCGCTGTGAAGAGGGCCTCACGCCCTGGCGCACGAACGCCGCTGATGCTGAATGTGTAGCTTGCTGGTAGGAGCACCAGCAAAGCGCAGGCCCCGAGGAACACACCTGGGGCTAGCGATCGGGAACGCGGCATCTTGCAGTTCTGCAAGAAATGCCGCAACGTCAAGGGTGCCTACCTAGTGGCACTGCCATAGCTTGAGCCCGCGCCGCGACATTGCCCATCTCAATGGCAAATGAACTTCTGCAAATCATTTGCTGCAAGCAGGTGCCGTGAACTGCAGTGCAGACATGCAGACAGGAAGCTTTGGAGCAGGAGTTTCAGTTGCTCCAACCGTGGTCAGATCGTCTTTGCTTTTGCTACATGCACATGTTGCACCGCGGCCAGGGGCGCTTACAGCCCTGTCCTCCGTTAAAGTGGGGCCAGGTTGGCTGCTTTGCAGACCGACATGAACTGAGCCCCGACGACCACGCATGACCTTACCAGCATCACTTGCACTGGTCCACCTCCAGCTAAAACTCGTTATGACTTTGAGCAGGGGCTTGTTTAGCGGTCATTGCGGTTGCAGCTTTGCAGCATCCCACACGTTGGTTTCAAGCTCCTGACACTCAGCCGTCATTGCAACCTTTGAAAATGACATCACGCTACAAAGCCTAGGCCCCAAGCTTGCATGCATTAGCCGTGCAAACTTAGCTGGGGCTCTTTATCACTGCAGCTTCCCATCTTCAACGCCGAGTTTTGGCTGACATGCGGCACCTGAATTTCAACTTGAAGCATTTTGGCCCTTGACTTGCCCACGAGTGTTCGAAAGCATGCCGCACTCAGACTCAAGGCGCAGGTGCTGCGGCTGCTACGAGAGTCAGATGAGCTGCTACTCTACATGTTTGTGCGAAATCCATCGGGAAGTCCTAATTACTCACACTCTTTAGCTTAGCAGCATCTCTATCTGCCTTCAGGCTTGGAGTTCCTCTTAGAGGTCCTCAAGCACCAGCCACTGTCCATAACTTGAACTGCGAGCCTCAGATGAGTCCCACTCCAGGCTTTGGATTCCGTTGGAGAATGCTGTTTTCCATCTCATCTGGGGTGCGCACCTCGCAGTGAGAAGCCCAGATAATTTTTCCGACTATGGCACACACAGCCCCACTGTAAAGGAACGGCGCACTATCCTTGCCCAAGCATATCCCTTCACAGATCTGTTTTGCACTGTGCGATGAAAGATCATGATTGAAAGGCAGTGCAAACAAAACACAAGGAATCCTGCGTTCCGTTCCGGCCATTCTACAAACACTTCATGGGCGTTGAAAAACACCCGCCTCCGGCCTTCAAGCAAGCAGAAGGCTGGTCAAAAACATGCATAGGCCAAACAATCGGCATGCGGCAAGGCTCAGCCTCAGGCCTCAGCCTGTGACACTTTCTCAGACTAGTCCCTCAGCAACCTTTTCGTCAGTCTTTAGGCCGACTGTTTGGAGAAAGACTCGCCAAAGCAATCTGGCGACGACCGTGCAACACTCCTGGCATGACTCATGCTTTTGGTCGGCCGGGGCCCCACTTGCTCCGTCACATGGTAGTCTGTTGTTTGCACAAAGAATTGATGACTGCCCGATCTGCGTTGAGTCGCTGCCGGCTAATGTCTTCCAGCTCGAATGCCATTGAAATGCACAGTGCACCACTGGCTTCATCAGTCACTTGCTGCAATCTTGCATATACAAATTCCTGCGAATTTCGAATTCCAAGTCAGGCACGTGCTAGTGCTGGCTCTAAAACCGCCGCCTGGCAGTAGCAAGGAGCGGCTAGCCCTGGGTGATTCTGCACCCAAGGCATAATTATGATGCTGTGAGGCAAGCCTCTTGCATGCAGGGCAGTATCAACAGGACAGCTCCATGAAGCGCTTATTTTGCTGGTTCTGGCTGGATGTCGGATTGGAATGATAGCAGCAGCAACAGCCAGCCTTGTGGTATCCGGTCATACCACGATTCCAGCTGGAACAAGTTGAGAACAATCAGCTCGAGCGAGAGCCAAGCCACAGCCTTACACTCAAAACAAATGCTTACATGTGCTTACTAGCTTCCATGCAAGCCCTGACTCCACAAAGCCGAGAACTACAAACTGGTCTTTGGCAACTTTCTCATTGCAAGCAACGGACATGTGCCCTGACGTCACATGGAGTAAAGGTGTGTGCCAAGAGCGAACAGTGACAACTTCCGATGTACGAACTGTTCTGGCCTCCATGATGTGCAAACTCTGATGCTTCGGACACAAGAGTGGTCGTAGCACGAGAGATCCTTGGCAAATGCTGCATGTCGCATGACCGATCCCCTACGTCAAGGGCCCAAGCACCTGCGCAAGACTTTCAACATTGACATCAGTATGAGTATGGCATCTAGATTGCCCAAACAGGGCAGGCTTCAGGTTCAAGCGTGCGAAACTTCAGACCAAGCACTGCTGGTTCAGTACAGTGTTCAAGTGAATGGTTTTCAACCAAAGCGAGGAGAAAGTCTGCCAGGCCCCACAGCACTGATCCAGCCAAAGGTCACGCTGTGGACGTGGCAGATTGGCCTTGCAAAGCCAAAGCACGAGTACCGCCGCAAGCAGTGAGCGGAGCTCAAGACATGTAGCGAGAATGAAATCTGAAACGCTTTGAAAGTGATGCCGAAGGGGCGGCTGCGTTGCGACGGCCGTCGGCAAGTGTTCTTCATTGAAATCCACCTCCAGGTGAATCAAAGCCCCTTTAGAGTCTGGACCCCTCTGTTGCGCAGCTTCCACTGCTGCCTGAATTAAAGTTTGACAGAATTACTTCTGTTGGAGGAGCGCGTGCTGTCCCACACAAAAGTTGTCGCCACAACTTTGCACAAGCCTACTAATGTTACCAGCTAAAACGTTGAAAAGTTCAGTAAAGTCCTGCATACATCGTTCCAGCCCATCATCCACAATCACCAGCCAGAACCCTACAGGCATCGGCTTTAAACTGTTCAGCTTTCCTGGTGTGACTCATTTCTCCCAGCCAACGCCACTTTTGGGCCCCCGCCAAAAAAAAAAAAACAAGAAGAGAGAGAGAGAGAGAGAGAAGCTCCGGCTTGCAGCGCTGTCCCGGTGCAGAGTGAAAGCCAACCGCGCTCTGAACTTAGAATCAGGCCTCTTCCTCCGAGAACTGATCGGATGGATGATGCTCCTAGACTGCAGAACTGAAACTGAGCCCCACCCAAGATACAGTGACTGTCCTCAGCAGCGGGGAGGGCATCCGTGCTCCGCACAGGGATGCAAGGCCTTACAGTTTCCAGGTGGCTGCATCACTTGAAAAATCAATAAGGATGAAGGCATTGCAGGCTCAATAAGGACACTGGTGGATTCGACTTGGTCTCCCTCGAAGTTGGAGCGCAGCCAAAAAGCTGAGACACTGCTGTGCTGTTGCAAGCAAGAATCCCATAGCACACAGTAAGCTGAGCGAAAGGCAGCTTGTCCGCTTGCTCGGCTGCCAGCTGCTCGGCCGCAGTAAGTAGGTGATTCACTCCCTTCCTGAGGATAGCTTCAAATCATCTCGCACATGTTGAATCTGCGAAGTGTGCAGCTGAGCTTCGATGCGCTGCACGCCAATCCTAAGAGCTACAAGCTTCCGCGATGTGTGAGAAGCGGAGGATGGCGCTGCTGCCGGTGCGTAATTAGCTGCGTCATGAATCATAGCAACATTTAGAACGTGCCCAGGGGCGCGGAAATCGCGTCACCCAGCTTGGAAGGTTTCGGCCAACCAGGTGCATGCACACCACTTCTGCAAAGCCTCAAAATCTTCATTGTTTACTCCAGGCCCGACACCCCTGTGCTCCGTGGAGCGAAGTCATCTGACTAAATGCAAGCGTCCAAGGCCACACCCTTCCCCAGCCCCATCGAGCAACTAGCGGTGCCATGCTACTTATTTACTTGTAGGCAGAAAGCATACAAAGCAAGTGAACTCACCTGCCAAATTAGCCGCGGTGCTGCAGCAGTTGCGCTCTAGCATGTCGTAATCACCTCCATGCCACTGGCTGGCCATTGCCAGATCCATGAAGCGAACTACCTGCGTAGGACCAAACGCGTCCAAGCTGAAGATTGGATTGCTTTGTAAAATCAGCGTACGCTGCTTTCAAACGTGTTTTCTAGGTGAACTCCCATGCCAGGCGGGTATTTATTCATCTTGTTCTCTTGAAGAGGTTATGATTCAGCTCAAATGACTCTTTGTTGCCGGAAGCTTGTCATCTTGGCCTCCGCTTCCGCCTGGCTGGTCCGGCCCATGGCGATGGACATGCGGTAGACATGCACGTCCTTCGGGGGTGTGCTCAGTACAACATAGTCAAGCAACGAGCTCAGACTGAAAAAGGTCGCCGCAGGCGCAAATCCAGCAAAATCATTGATGCAGTTTTTCAATTTGGGCATCTACAGCGCTACCAAGCTGGGCACCGCAGCCATGTTGCATCAATGACTGCAAGCAAGCTGCGTGCGTTCGTGGCTCCTACTCACAGAGCAATACCGGGGACTTTCGGACAAGCACGATGCAGCAAATTACTGCCTGGCAGTCGATTCCTTCCTGTCCGAATGACCACTCCTGTCATCATGAACGCATTTGTTGATACTGCATCATAAAATGCCCAAGCAGCTAAATGAGGCCAAGGATCCTTCCCATGCACCTCCACTCCGGCATGGAAGGCGCCTGCGTGATCAGTGGTCCAAGGGAAGCTGCAGGTATCGGATGAGAGGGGGCCCGTAACGGCGTAGGGCAATGTATCAGCCAACAGGATAAGACCGGTGGCCGAACGGATCGGCCCCTCACCGGCAACTGGATCAGCGCTGGGCTCGGAACAGCTCCGGGTCTTCGGATCCCAGAGCCAACAGAAACAACAACCCTCTCGGTGTTTTGGACGCGACCAAGTGCTGGCGCGTGGAGCGTCCTCAGAATTCCCGTGTCGGAAACGACGACCCTCTCAATGTTTTGGCCGCCACAGAGCGCTGGCGTGTGGAACCTCCGCAGAATTCTGTTCGGAAACGATGACCCTCTCCATGTTTTGGGCGTGACAGAGCGCTGGCGCGTGGGGCGTCCTGGGAAACGACGACCCTCTCCACGTATTCGTCGGGACATATCGCTGGCGCGTGGGGCGTCCCTAGAATTC